TGAAGTGACAATCTTCAGCAGCCTGGGCTCTGTGGGAAACCGGGTAACATAACCCCAAATGGTTCTGGAAATAAGTATGCAATGTGGAGCTTGCCTGCAAGCAGGCCCAAACTGTTGCTGACAGCAGCAGTTTTGGGAGGTGCGCCCATGAAACTCTACAGGATATAAGAGGTGTGTCATGGGATTGTTCAGAATGCTCTAGGGGATGCTGAAGCACAACACTGCATGCAATCTGGAGGTTGCATCCCAGCGCCTGGTGTTATGTCGTAAAGGATCCTGAGGCTCTCCCTTAGGCTTATAAAGTTCTAGGGCTTGGCAAATCCCAGGACTGGGCTTGCATTTTAGCCTTCTTCTCATGGTCTCTACAGGAAGGAGGAAAATAAAGGGCAGGCAGTCCTGTCCCTTTAATAGGAATCTTAATGTATGGAAATGGGCAGTGGAACCTTTTCATGGCATGGACGTAAATAGCATCTCATTAAGCCTCCCTTAAAGAAACAGGGCATTTTCCTCCAGGCATTTGGAAACCTTACTCTATGAACTAAACAAATGAGGATCTGAAATATGGGGCAGTGGACGGGGACATTGCCCCCTCTGAATGGCACAGAAGAAAGATCACAGCTAAGAGCATCTTTGCAGATGGGAGTTTTAGCCTGCAGCTGGAAAGCGGCCTTGTTTTGAGTTGGAACCTAATTCCGTCTGTGTCCTCAGGTTGACTATAAACCACAGTAAAACCCTAAAGCGACTGGGTCCGAGACAGCTTTGCAAAGAAAGCCAGACAACAGGTGTGTTGCCCAAGCTGCTGCCATGCTGATCTGTATGTATGCTTTTCTACTGAAAAACAAGCTGGGGGAGAGGGGGGTGAAGAATCCATAGCCCCACAAAGCGGCAAGATTCCACCCTCAAGAATTACAAAGAAAAACCTTTAAAAGGCGGAGCAGCATTTGAGCAAAGCTCGAGAGACTAGGGCTACCAACTTCTTGAAAAACTAACCCTGCTCCTGTGCCATTAGCAGCAGATGACACGCTGATCTGTAGAAGGTGAGCCTTTCTCTATCTGAGATAGAATGCGATGGCTAAAGCTTCGTTTCTGCATATCTGCCTGTTAACTAAAGGTTCAGAAGAGACAGTGGGGAAAAGAGTTGGCAACTGTCAGACGTTACAGAAGGAAAGAGGAATGGGGAGACACCTCTGAAAAGGAAGAGGTACACAGTACCAGAGCTTACAAAAAAGGCACAACACCATCTGTATTAAAAACAGTTACTACAAAAAAAATCCAAAGACAATCAGTTTGTAAATAAAAGTTAACTTCCATGAAAAATTCCAAAACAGAAAGTGTTAACCATGAAACCGCTTATATTGTTCATGCATTGACCTATTCGGACTGCTTCACTGGCCCATAGCCAGGATTTTTTTCAGTGGGGGGCATTTAAATTTCTTAGGGGGCAGCTAAGTTAATTAAGTTAATTAACTTCAGCCAGTGAGACTTAAACAACATTTAAAAAATGCTTTCTGGCATGGCTTTTTGTGGGCCGTGGCTTTTAATTAAGGGGGCATGCCCCCAAAATGCCCCACCATAGCTACGGGCCTGCTGTTAACACTTTGTGTTTGGGGATTTTTCACAGTAGTTATCTTTTATTTACAAACGTACTGCCTTTTGATTTTTTTGTAGTAACTGTCTCTGCTGAGAATGTACACGCCCCCTCCCCCAAAACAAAAGAAGCTAAGAGCAAAAAGACGTACTGTCTTTTGATTTTTTTGTAGTAATACAAGCAGTTTTGTGCCTTTTTTTGTCTACCTCTTCTTTTCCAGATATTAGAGAAGACTAAGATGAGGATTTGCCACTCCCCCAATGGGTCTCTGCTCAGTTATGTAAGACGCCTTGGGTCCCCTTTGGAGAGAAAGGCAGGGTATAAGTGAAATAAATAAATAAAATTCCCATCCCATTATTGCAATCTGACAAAAAAAGAAATCCAAATTTTAAACTGCTTGCAAATGAGACATGAAAGGCAAATGCACATATAATCTTCAGATTTAACTCTGATGTTGTTGCTTTTTATTGCAAAATTCAGAGATTTCTAAACTTCTCATCTTTAACAGCCTTGCAAACTAAACAGTACAGCATGTTTCTCTCACCACCTGCACAGAGAGCACATGCCTGATCATCCTAGGAAGATAAGCACAGCAGTTTGATCTTAAAGCTGGAGGGAACCTCAAGGGCTTGCTAAAGCATATGCCGAGTTGCTTTTCATGATTCCCCAGTGTCTAGGGGCAGAGATCAGGGTGTTGTCCTCCTTGCTGCGGGGGGGGGGGTGCCTCTGCTCTCACTCTAGCAGAACTTGGCTGGTAAAGCAGATCTTTATGCTGTTGCCTGAGGCACAAAATCCAAATGGCACGCTTCACTTATTAGCATCTGGCTCTATCCCCCTGGAAATGTTTCTATGCAAGTCATATTTAAATGACTGGGAACACCCATGAAACTGCTTTAGTAAGAGCATTGCTCTAGCAAGGTCAGTATTGCTTGTTCTAACTGACAGCACCTTTCCAGGGTCTCAGGTCAAGATCTTTCACATCACCTACTACCTGATCCTTTTATCTGGAGATGCCGAGGATTGAACCTGAGACCTTCTGCATGCAAAGCAGATGTTCTGTCACTGGGCCATGACCCCTTCCCTTACAGGAGCTGCATGAGGACACACCAAGTACACAGGTTTTCTGCTTCATAGGCTACATCAATCTGACTCCCACCCAAGATAGCAGCCCTTTCCTTTTTCTTTCCCTTTGCTGGATTTTAGACTGTGTGTTCCCAGGGATAGAAAGCCAAGTGTCATACTCTAAATTGCAACTTTAGCTCAGTGACATTTTTATTGGCAGGACTAGCTGTATAGGCAATAACAGAAGCAGTTCCCCTTTCCCAGAGCAGATTTCCTCCTTGTACAAAGTGATTTAGAGAGTCACCAATCTTTTAGGGTCACCAAACTCAATATGGAGCCTGGAGTTCTCCCAGAATTACATCTGCTCTCCAGACTGCGAAGGTCAGTTTTCTGGAGGAAATGGGAGCTTTGAAGGGTGGACTCTATGGCATCCCAGCCCTGTTGAGCTCCTTTACCTCCCAAACTCCACACTCCCTAGACATTCTCCCCACCCCCCACCCCCGATCTTTAGGAATCTTCAGAGACCGGGTTTTGAACCCGGTGGTTTTAAAATTTGGGGGGGGGTGGGGGGGATGGGACGGACAGACTCAAAAGCTTCCCAGGAGTTCTCAGTCAGAAGATCACCTCAGCACCATCCATCTTCCCCCATGAATGTACAGCGACAGAGGTATGCTCAGTCTTTACTTTCCATTTGTATGGTGCACAAGTGAGGCCCACGAAGCCAGAACTCTAGGCTGACCATTCAGCACATCAGAATGCTTTGCAATTCACAGGATTCTCTAGCAGACATGCAAGGATGCGCTGGCAGGAAAGAGTTCCCTGAATGTCAAGCTTCTGAAAGCCACTGAGGCCGGCAGCTAAGTCTGGACCTGCCAGAAGCCACTAACTAAACCATCTCCAGAAAGAAAAGGGAGTGGGGGAAAAGAGCAGCTCCTGTTGCTTACATTAAAAAGAGAAAATCTGCTCCACCAGGGCTGGTCTCAACCTGCACATTCCCCTTCCAGTAGCTGGGACAATGTCAACGCACAGCTGACTTGCTACAGCATGGAAGAGGCCATTGTTAGCACTATGCAAGGAGTCAAAGCAGGCACAGATAGCTCAGTGTTCCTGGGGCAGCACAATCTTCCTTTCTCTCCTCCCTTTCCCCCTCACAGCTGCAAGCCCCAATCATTTGAGAACAAGGCCTGTTGTGGTTAAAGGATAGTTTATCACTAGAAGCTTCTGTCTGGTCTCGACCCCTGACTTCAGGGTGAAAGGAGACCGCAGGAATGGAAAGATGAAGGGCTTGAAAGAGCCAAGAGGCAGACAGACAGACAGACAGACAGCCAAGTCTTGCTGCCCCCCCCCCCCCCCCCCCCCCCCCCCCCCCCCCCCCCCGGGCTTCCGCCTTTAGGCGAAGGAACGAGAGACAAATGAAATGAGCAGTTTAAGGGCACACACAAAAACAGCAGCAAGGACCTCTCCTCGCTTGGGGCTATTAACACAGCCAACACACTGGGAGTAACAACCCCCCACACTGCCCCCCCCTTGCAAAGACTAGGCTCTCTTCAAAACCCTGGTGGTTAGAACAGGCCAGACAAGTGGAGGGTGCGCATCATCTGCCAGCCAGCACTTCAGTGGACAGCGTACACACACTCTGCCCCAAACTGCACGCTACCCCTAAGTGTTCCACCCTCTCTTATGCAGACCGTACTTTGCTTGAATTTAAAAATAACAACAAAAAGTGCATTCACGTAGAGGATCTGGAATGAAAGGGGAATGACAGCAAGTCATTGAGATCAAAGTTATGAATCGGTCATTAAGATCTGGGGTGGGGCGGGTGGGGTGGGGAGGATGAGTCTAGATCGAAGTTCAGCAAGCTAAGCCTTTGAGTGAAGCCAAAGGAAAAGTTCAGAAATGTTAATACTGGTGGCCATGCAGTGTCACTCTGCATAAAGTGCCCAATACAGTTAGTGGTACAGGCTCACATTGTCTGAGTCCAACAGTGCCCAGGGGGCAGAAGGAACTGGTTTAGGTGAAGCCAGTCAGTTGACCAATTGTAACGAGAATGCTGGTTGCCTGTGGAGTCTCCAAACAACATATCTGCGGTGTCTGGTACATTCCAGGAGCCTGGATCTTACTTAGGTTGGAGACATGATGTGGGTTAATCACAAAAGCACAGTCTGTTTTCACCCTCCAGCTACTGCCAGGAGAGCCTACGGAAGAGATGAGAATCCAGCCCTGTTCACAGTGGGAGGATTTCAGCTGGTGGAGCGACAAAGGTCCAGAAGATCTCTGAAATGCCTGCTCAAGCCCCGGCTCTTTACTTTTCAATGCCAAGA